GCACACATAATGTAGAGGGTGGGCATGGCGAAGGAAGTATAGCACAGAGAAGGCAAGTAGTGACTCTGGCATCTTCGTACGCTGATGGACAGTGACTGGAAGGGCATGTGGAGGGTACACAGTAAAAATGGTGGGTGTAGTAAATACAATGTTGCTCATGTGAAACCTTCGTAAGAGTGGTTCAATGACACCTTAATAAAAAAAAAATTGTGTGGTGCTGGCATAAAGACAGACAGACCGACCGATGGAACAGAATCAAGGGTCCAGAAAGAAATCCTTCAACACATGCTTGACTGATTTTTGACAAGGAAGCCAATGCCATTCAGTGGGGAAAGGCAGTCTTTTTCACAAGTGGTGCTGGAAAACTGGAAGTTCACATTCAAAAGAATGAATTTGGACCCTTACCTCACACCACAAACCAAGATTAACTCAAAATGAATCAAATACCTAAGCATAAAACTTTACTCTATAAAACTCTTAGAAGAAAACATAAAAGGGTTCCTGATACTGGGTTTAGCAGTGATTTCTTGGCTATGACACTAAAAGCACAGGTGGGAAAAAAAACTGGGCTTTATCAAAATTAAAAACTTTTGTACATTAAAGGACAATATCAATAGAGAGTAAAAAAAGGTAACCTACAGATGGGAGAAATTATTTGCAAGTCACTTTTCTGATAAGAGTTAATATCCAGAATAAAGAACTCCTACAATTCCACTACAAAAAAAATCAAACACCCAAGTAAAAAATGAGACAAGGACTTGAACAGACCTTTCTCCAAGGTAACACACAGATGGACAATAAGCACATGACAAGATGCTCCACATCACTAACTGTTGGGGAAATGATCTCAAATCACAGTGAGAACTCTCTCACACCACGCATCAGGATGTCTATGACCCCAAAATCAGGAAACAGCAAGTGCTGGCAAGGGTGCGGAGGCGTCGGGAGTCCTTGCACACTGCTGGTGGGAGTGTGCAATGGGGCAGTGCATGGGAAACACTTCGGCAGTTTCCCAAGTTAAACACAATTATCATATGATCAAATAATCCCATTTTTGGGTAGACAAAGGGATTAAAAGCAGGGTCTCAACAGCATGATGCACAACCACTAAGAGGTGAGAGCGACCCATGTGTCCATGGACAGATGGTGGTGAGCCACATGTGGTCCGTCCACACAGGGGGTGTGATGCAGCCTGAGAAAGGAGGGGCGCTCTGCCCCAGCTGCAGCGTGGGGGGACCCTGAGGACACACGGCAGGGAGCCAGGTACAGAGGGACAAATCTGTGCGACCCAGTCACAGGCCGTCTCCAGGGGAGTCACACACCAGAGAGACAGAGGAGAAGGGGGCCGGATGGAGGCTGGGGTTTGCTGGGGACAGAGGTTCAGTGTGGGGAGATGGAAAGTTCCAGAGCCGGGTGGTGGGGATGCTGCACAACTGGGAACAAGCTGGATGCCCGAGCTGTGCACCTGACGACGGCCACGGTGGTAAATTCCTAGTGATGCACAGTGACAAACAATTGTGCTGGGATGGAAGCCACAGCAGGTCCACACAGTGCTGGCAGGGGCTTCAGAGAGCAAGCGCCCAAGTGCCTGGGGAGGGCAGGAAGGCAGGAGCAGCCATGGCAAGCCAGCTCCGGGCACCCGTGCCCACGGTGGGAGAGAGCCAAGAGAAGAGGGCCTGCCGTCTGAGGTGGAGGACTGCGCCTGGCACCTGGGCCCCTCCCTCCCCACCAGCCTGGAGAAATCATGGACACGACTCGGGCAAAAGCAGCCCGTCTGGCACGTGTACACACCGTGGTGAGGACCAGACCCCAGGGGGTCACTCTGCAGAGACTGCGTCCCACACTCCTGGGTCTGACAAGCCTGGTGTCCCCGAGCCAGGCAGGCCTGTCCCCTGGCTTGGCCAATGAGAGTTGAGGAGGACAGGTGTGGTGGGCCTTAGTGTGGACACTGGGAGCCAGGGTGAGCCCCCACTAGGGCTCCAAATTCATATGCTGAAGCCTTAACTCCCAGGGCAGCTGTATGCGGAGATGGGCCCCTAAAGGTGGTCAGGAACAGGTGAGCGCGGGTCCTGACCCCACAGGACAGCGTCCTTACAGGGAGGCCCCAGAGCCGTCTCTGCTGCATGAGGACACAGCGAGGCGGCAGTCTGCACACCATGAGGTGGGCCCTTCCAGGACCCCAGAATGCTGGCCCATAGCACTGCTAGCCGTTCAGGACAGGACAGGCTGTTCTCCACTCTGGCTGTGGAACAGCCACCCTCACAAAGCTTGGGCTCCGAGTGGGGGTGGCCTGCAGTAGAGCCCCCAGCTGCCCACGTGGGGCCGTTTGTGGCAGAAGCACAACCCAGTCATCCTGACTCGGCTCCCTGTGCCTGGGCCACATTCACGTCACAGCAGCCATCTGTTCAGTTCATAAAACACACATTCACACATTCCCTTAAAAGCTACGTTTACAGTGGCTGGGCTGCCATGTAGCCTGAGACAGGCCCTGGGCAAGTGGGGGCCAGCAGCGAAGCACCAAGCCGCTCGGCACCCTCCCACGGTGAGCACACACTTCCTGAGGGCTGCACCCAAGGCTCCCGGAGTCACTCAGGCCCACGGACCTGCTGCCGGCACACTTCAGAGCAAACGCCGGACCAGGGTGGCGAGAGGCAAGTGTGGCCCCTGCAGTGAACTGCAGCACAGGCTGCCTGGATGCCACGGGGGACCTGCTCACACACAGCGGGGAGCAGACGACGCAGACCTCGGGGGGAAGGTGGTGCCCGATCCTTATTAGGCGACAGTCCTTTCCTGGCTCATCTCCCGTGCCCTGCCAAGCCCACAGGATTCCCCTGCCCCACCCAGGCCAGGGCCCCTGGCCTCCCACCTTTCTGCAGAGCTCCTGGAACTGACTGCCTGGGCCCTGAACCAGGACACAGCGCAGGGCGTCCTGAGGGGCCGAGCACAGGCCTGCGGGGCCCCGATGCCGAGACACGCAGCTCGTTTCCTGGGACACTCTCAGCTCCGTGAGCTCTGGCCCCCCTCCCCCCTCCCCCCTCTGGGGGATACAGATGCCAGCACAGGGCCCTTCACACAACTCAGGGGGCCTCCAGATTGGCTGAGCTCACATCTGTGCTGCGCGTGTCCCCAACTCACCTGCCACGCCACAGCGAGCTGGGAGATCTCCCGGCCCGACATGCCCTCCGTCAGGCGCGCGGCCTCTGAGCACTTCTTGCCATAGTCAAACTGGGCCAGCTTCAAGCGCCTGGTGAGGACAGGTCCCCAGTGATGCACCACAGGACCCAGGGCAAGACCAGAGGCCTGCATAGCCCCACGGAGGGTTGGGACATCTGCCAGGAGCAGGGCACCTGTCACCCTCGGAGGGGACACACGTCAACACCCTCCTTCTAAGGAGCCAAACCGTGTCCCAACACCCACACCTGGGGCCAGCCTGCCCGCCCTGCCTTTCCGACCCCGCTGGGCACGCCCCTTCCTCCCGGAGCCCAGGATGGGGTCCTGGTGGGACAGAGCCAGTCAGGATGTGCAGCAACTAGAAGGGCTCCAGGAACCATGCCCACAGCCCCACCCCTGCCCCAGGCAGGGTCCATGGTCCCCTCACCCCCTACCCCACACCCCACCCAGAGCAGCAGCTGCAAGCACATGAGCAACAAGCTGTTCAGTGAGCCGGCAGCAAGTGGAAGGGAAGCAAGCCAGGCCTCTGAGCCAGGGCGCGGCAGCACGCCCATCCCGCCCGCATGCTGACCCCACCCCCAGTCCGGTCTGGCTGAAGGCCCAAGAAAGTAAAAAGGCCTCAGAAAGCCCAACTGCACAGAAGGACGGGCCACTGGGAGGCTGGGGGCCTGGACCAGCTGGGGAAGGGAGAAAGGAGGCCAGAGAGGGGAGCCTGAGGGGGTGCGCCACAGAGGGGAGTGGGGCGGGTGGGGCCGTCTCGGAGCAGCAGACGCCAAGGGGATCCAGGTCAGGGCTGCGGGATCCAGGTCCCGGGAGGCAGGTAAAGATAGAGCAGCCTTGGTTTTCTGGAGCACTCCGGGCAACGCGTTCAGAGAGCGTGGGAGCGTGTGGGATCCCGCAACCTGGAGGCCTTGCTGTGAGCAGGCGAGGCGCTGCAGGCTCCTGGGAGTCGGGGTCAGCAGTGGGCAGCGCACAGAATCCTGCTCCAAGACCACCCTGACAGGCTCAGCGAGGGCCCAGCTCGGGCTGCCGCGCCCCAAGCTCTGGGGGGCCTGCCTGCAGCCTGGGGCCTGAGCGTGTGCTTAAGGACCCCAGACGGTTATGGCGCTTGGCACAGGGCCCAGAGGCACTAACGGTTCGTTTGTGGGAGTGGTCATCCCATCAGAGACCCGCGAGGAGCAGGACAGGGGCCCAGGACGCAGCAGGCAGACAGAGCTGCCGGTAGCCCTGGCGATGGAGCCGCACGTGACCCTGCGCTGAGCCCACGTGAAACCACAGGGTGGGTTGGGGTATGGTGCCGGAGCCGGACGGGAGCTGGGGCCGGGGCAGTGTGGCAGGGTGCTAGGAGGCCCGTGGCAGGCAGGGAGTGGGTGGGTGGCCAGGACACTTACTGCTTTCCCTCCGTCGCCGGCTTCAGAACATACTTGTCAAAATACATCCTCACCAGGCGCTCCCGCTCCTCCCGCCGCGGCAGGGTGAAGTGGACCATCTCGTCCATGCGGTCGTTGATGGCCCAGTCAAACTGCTCGGGCTGGTTGCTGGCCAGGACCAGCATGAACCTGTGCCAGCAGACGGGAGCTGGGGCTCCTGGCCGGCACCGCCCTCCCTGGGACAGGGGCCTCTCAAAGCCACACAGGGCAATGTTCTAGCAGAACCCGTCTAGCAGCTTTTTAACCCAGAGGACCAGGCACTGTCCCCCCTCCGCTCCCTCCCTGCCTGTTCCAGCCTCTGCTGATTCTGTCCTCGCCCCAACTGCATGCTTCTCCTCTGACCAGTGGGGTGGGCTGTGTAAGCCTCACCATTTGCAGGAGGGGCAGGGACCCTGGGGTCTGAAACAGATCTCTGCCTCCAACACTGGGGGCCCGGATTGCAGGCCTGGGGCTCAGCTGAACAGAGGGGTCACCTCAGCAGCAACCCACACTCGCCTTCCAGGGGCTCTGAGAGGGGACGGGGTCCTCACCACAGCAGCCACGGGGGAAGGATACGCGCTCGTCTGACACGGGGCCCCACAGCTGATGGACAGAGCTAAGCACCCCTCAGTGAGGTTCCACCAACGCAGGGCAGCAGGACAAGGGGATTTGGAAGGGGCAGCCGGCACCCCAGGGCAGTGGCCTGTATGAGAGAACCTGCTGCCCAGCGGGCACGCCTCAGTGGCCCCGGTACCCCACTGTGCCCAACTGGCCATCCCCACCACAGGGGCAGCAGATGCTGCCCAGCACTGGGGGCATGTGAGTAAGGCACCTGCCCTGTGTGGCCAGCGGCCCCGGGACGGCTGCCATGGGGCCCAGGCACCCTGCCCGTGGCTCACTTGCTACTGTGCTGTCCCGTCCTGTGCAGGAAGGCATTCAGAGTGGCCCGAAGGTCCTCGCTTATCTTCTCCTGCAGAGGAAGGAAGTAGATGACACTTACGGTCTTGCAGCATCGGGCACGAGGCAGCCAGGGAGGCGTAAACAAAGGCCCCGCCCCCTGCCCCGCGGAGCTGCACAGAACACTGACTTTCTGAAACTAAACTCCCAGAAGTGTCTGTAAAAGGTTCAACTGCTACTTTTGCAGCAACTCGTCACAGGAACGCCACTGAGGAGCAGCCTGAGGTCAGCCACAGTGGCCTTCCCAGGAGGCGTGGCCACGCGGCCCCTGCCGCTCGCCTGCGGGCCGGCCCAACCTCACCAGACGGAGGCTTCCAGAATACTCACAGTCGCTCTCTTCCTGAGGAAGGCGTCTGCTTCATCCACGAAGAGCAGGAGGCTGTGATGACGAGGGTCCGAGGGGGGGGCACCGCTCAGGCAGAGCCCCGGGAGAGGCCTCCCTGCACGCGCACTGCCCTGTCACACAGTGACGTGCTGACCCCGCTAAGACCAGAGCTTTGTTCGAGGGACCCAGGCAACGTGCTGGACTCCGCAGCATCTGATACCCCAGACCTCAGCCTCGGGGGGGGCGTGCAGAGAGGACGGACCATCCTGACCTGGCGCTGAATGACCTCCCCCTGCAGCCTCTTGTCTTGCATAGTTTAAAATCAGAGACACTGAGAGGCTCTTGTAAGGAGCACAGGTCACCATACTCTTAACTAAGGATGAACTTCTCCACCGGACCCCCACCCCCAGGGTGCTGCCAGACAGCAGCTGCTCCAGCCTCATGCATGACCACAGGGGCAGGCTTCAGGGAAAGCCACTGAGCCCCTTCCTGGCAGGAGCCCAGTGGCCTTGGGCACTGGAGGGGCATCTCAGATGGCACCTGGCTCACCCTCGCCGGCTGGTGTTGGCCCAGTCAAAGACCTTGTGCATGGCGGTCACGCCGTCCCGCCCCATGGGGGCCACGTCCCCGCCCGTCATGATGGCATAGTCCATGCCCGAGTGCAGAGCAAGTTTCTGGGCAAGAAGGGCGGGAGGGGAAGAGGCACAGTGCGGTCGCTTCCTCCTCTGCAAGCAGCCCAGCCCCGGCCTGCTCCCACCTGCTGTGGAGGCCCTGGGGGGTGGGTGCCCCTCCCACGAGGCCCCAACACCCAGCGCCCACTCCCCAAGAGCTGCAGCCGCAGTTCCCGGCGGGTGAGACCCCCGGGAGGCCCAGCCCCACCTGCACGGCCAGGCGCACTCACCTTGGCAAACAGAGTCTTCCCGGTCCCGGGCGGCCCGTGCATCAGGATGTTCCTGTACACGCTCTTGTTCCTCTTGGTGTTCCTGGTGGCGATGGCGATGTCCCGCACACGTGCCTCCAGGCTGGGCTGCCAGGGGACACGGCCATTTGGGGGAAACTGCCACAGGGGCTGCCCTTCCCGAGCGCCTGGGCCGGCACGACGGGCCGCTGATCCCAGGCTGGGGCTCAGTCAGCAGATGCCACTTCAGGAATGAAAAGCAGCCCCATCTGCTGGAGCCGGAAAACGCCAGGGCAGAAGGGCAGACCCGGCCCAGCCCCAGCCCCAGCCCCAGCCCCCACGGCAGCACCACTCACACTGAGGATGACGCCCTCCACCGCATCCTGGGGCTTACTGAGCAGCCGCCTGCTGACCTGCGGGGCGAGGCCGGGGCATCAGCAGAGGCCGCGGGGCGGCTGCCCCACGGGCACACGCGACTGCTGCGGAGCTCTCTCCACAGGACACGCGTGACCCGGCCTGCTCCAGAAGGGTGGCAGATGAGATTGTCCGCATTGTGGGGCCGGGCGACTTGCAAGTCCACATGGACCTTTATTTTCTCGACCGCCCACACCATGTGTGCGATAGGCAGAGGTCCAGCCGCAGCCCAAGGGAGAAAGTGCCTTGGGGAGGGACACAGTGCTGGCCAGAAGCTTGCCTCCCCCTGGGGTGGGCAGCCAGCACCACGCCACTGGCAGCAACTCCTCTCAGGATGGCAGAGGGGCCTCGGGAGTTTGTAAACCCTAAGTCTACCCAGGGAACAGTCACAACAGCAGTCCCACTGAGGCGACCACAGACGGGGGGCCTCCCCTGTGCTTATGCACAGACCCCAGGGACGGCATCAGCAGGAAAAGGCCAAAAGGGAGCCCCGTGAAGACGGGGCAGGTAGCACTGGGGCAGGATACTGGCCCCCAGCCCACCACAGTTACCTGCAGCGGGTGCCTCAAGGCCTCCAGCGCAGTGATTCGAGAGGTCTCCCTCACCAGGGAGGGCTTCCCCAGCCGCGCCTCGATGTACCGTCCAGCCACGGACGTGGCATTCTTGGCGGAGTAGATCCCAACAGCCAGCAGGGTGAGGCCAGCCACCTGGAGCAGGGCAGAGAGGGAGTGATGCCCACCAGCTGTGCCAGTCAGCAGTCAACAGGCCCCTCACCATCTCATCCCATCCCTCACCAAGCGAGGGTGAGATCATATGGGGGAGTCTACACCCCCAAATCCTGCACGTGGCTGGTGCTCAATGACACATGACTAAAGAAGACACGAGGACATTTCCAGAAAGTAAGTTTACCACCAACGTCCTTTTTCTCAGAAAGCTACTAGAGAACGTGTCCCAGCAGGACAGGGGAAGCTCCCAGGTGACAGGAGTGCCCCTGTGGAGAGGCGGAGGGACCGCTGGGCTGGTGGGGAACAAGGCAGATGCTTCAGTGGGACCACAGTCGTGGCGCCTGCCCACGCGCTGCAGAAAGGCCCGCACAGCAACCCCTGACGGCAGAGCTACAGTCCCTCCCTCAGGACGAGCAGCCGGGCGGCGGCGGCGGAGCCACGGCCTTGGAGCGGACGGCCACAGCTGGGAGACGGACGTGCGGGCCAGTGCGGGGCCTCCCTGTAGGCTCCCGCAGGAACCCCAGGCTGCCTCCGTGGGTCTGAAAGCAGGACTCTGCTGCTCTCGCACGGGCTTCCCTCCTCTGCGACCCTTCCTGCTGGCAGGGGGGCAGGAGGCGCTGCTGACGTGTACAGCGGCCAGTGTCCCAGCAGAGGGCGCCTGGGGGGAGGGAGGAGGGCACTGCCTTCCAGAGCCCAGACACCAGCAGAAGATACCTGCTTTCACCTCCTGGAACATAAGCAGACCCTTCCCCAACCAGAACAGGGCACAGGTCTGCGGGTAACAGGACGGCAGCTGGCAGGGAGGCAACTGACCTTGCTCAGAGGGCCTCCCCCGCCACTGGGTCTCTGACCGCCACCACTAGGGCCACAGCTCAGGAGAACTCAGGGCCACTGGGGAAATGCTGACATGCTCGGGGCAGCAAGGAGCCACCACTCACAAGTGTGGCTGGCAAGCTCCAGGGACGTGGCATGCTATAGCCTCTATAAACCTCTCCTTTATCTCCTGTCGTGCTGACAACCCACGGCGAGTTCAGAGGGGGGCTATGGACGCGTCCCCACAGGCCTGCCACAAGTTGGAACTTTAGTCTGTGCAGCTTTCAAGTTCAAGCGAGAAACGCTCTGAAGCTGAGGCCGCTGCTGGGACACACGCAGCAGCTCCGAGGGCCCGTGCCCTCTGCTCACAGAAGCTGAACTGTTCCAGGACAACAAGGCTGACCTAAAACCACCGCTGATTCCTTTAAAAACTAACTGGTCAGAAAAATACAACCTTCCAAGACTGACCCAGGAAGAAACAAAAACCTAAACAGACCAATTACCAGCAACGAAATTGAATCGGTAATCAAAAAACTACCCAAGGACAAAACCCCAGGCCAGATGGATTTACCTCGGAATTTTATCAGACATACAGAGAAGACATAATACCCGTTCTCCTTAAAGTTTTCCAAAAAATAGAAGAGGAGGGAATACTCCCAAACTCATTCTATGAAGCCAGCATCACTCTAGTACCAAAACCAGGCAAAGACCCCACCAAAAAAGAAAATTACAGACCAATATCCCTGATGAACATAGATGCAGAAATACTCAAAAAAATATTAGCAAACCGAATTCAAAAATACATCAAGAGGATCGCACACCACGACCAAGTGGGATTCATCCCAGGGATGCAAGGATGGTACAACATTCGAAAATCCATCAACATCATCCACCACATCAACAAAAAGAAAGACAAAAACCACATGATCATCTCCATAGATGCTGAAAAAGCATTTGACAAAATTCAACATCCATTCATGATAAAAACTCTCAGCAAAATGGGAATAGAGGGCAAGTACCTC